CGGTGCAACTGGAGGTCGTGCGACGGGTCGAGCACCGTGTGGCGGCCAGGACAAGGAGCGTTAAACACGACGACTTGTAGCCACATTGTTTGCCTGCGCCGCTGCACGGGACGCCGCCCTACGCTCTGCTCGCCTGGCTGGTTGCGACACGCTCCCATACAGTTCCGTGTGCCACGATGATGTTCATACCTACATGCGACAACAGCTTCTGCCCCTTCCGATCCCCCTCATCGACACACCGGATGGTATGCCGGACACCAGAAGGGAAATGGGCTCTGTGTGCCCCGTCTTCTGCCTCCTCCTCCGCGAGACCCTTCAAACGGTACGCGAGGACGCCTTCTGCCGTGGGTGCCACTTCGTGCACTTGCTGGTGTGATGCCACTTGCTTGCAGTACAGGTCCCCATGCCACCAAGTAGGCAAACCCCGAGACGAATTCGACTACTTCGGCCTTTAGGAACCGAGGGTCTGTTTCCCTCTCCGTCATTTGGTACCCCATAGTCGCATCACCTTGGTTTTCGGTATATGTCCCATCATCGCTACAACCTCCAACGTGATCGAGGCCCCAATTGACCCCGAGCTCGTGAAGCAGCGTCTGCCAAAACAACGGCCGTGGCTCCTGATTGGGACCACCCCTGCCCGATCTCACAATCGTCGCAATAACACTCACAATGCGGAAAGGTCGCTTCGGCCATGAATTCCACGTTGTCTGTGGCAGGACGAACCCCAATCGTGTTCGTGTATGTTGGTGTCGCAGATTCTGCTCGGTAGCCAAATGAGCCACAAACGACTGATATAAGTCGATTGAAGTCAGACCAATAAGACGGCTCGTCGTAGCAGTGCTCGCGAAAGTACTCCCCACACCACTGGGTCTTCAGAAGAGCCCTTTTGCAAGGCAGTGGCACTGCTGGTGCGCATCCGAGTGTGTTGCCACGAGCTGTGCCATAGACTTGGTGCTTCTTAGCGGGGCCCAAGGCGTTGTTTGTGATGCTTTGCCTGTAGGGCTCTTGACAAGCAAAAACGACAATGAACGCTTAGCGCCTTTACTGCTTTTTGCAGCGTGTTCTGGCACGCCGCTCTGGGCCTTGATGTGTTAGACTTGTTTGATTTCTCGTCAACAGCTGCTCCTTGCCTTCACTGCCGTCTTCGCCCCCGCTCTCCCATTCCTGCCGCATCCCGTGCCTCCCGCTCCACGCGCAGAGCGCAGAACTACAAACAACTACAAAAAACCCTGACTCTGGTCTAACAATGGCGCGGAGGAGGCCCGGGGAGGCCCCGTGACCAGCCAGCAGCGACGACTAGAGCGAACTGATTACGATTAAAGTACACTGCGTCCACAAAAAATTGGGGAGGACTGGACGCAGGGAGGGAATGAGGACGTGGTAGACGGCTAAGCCGCACAATCGGCTGATCTGAAAATGCTAGAAAGGAACGGAACTCAAAACACAAAGCATGGTTTGTTTTTTAGCGCGTTCAATTTTCTTGATGGGACCTCAAGACGCGAATAACGCGGTCCGAAAAGCCAAACTTAAAACTGAACAAAAACGGCAAGGCCATATTTGAGAAGAGTCAAGGCCATAAAACGTCGTTCAAACCAGGGACGTCAAGGAAAAACTGCTTGACATCATCCAAGGACTTTGCGGGATCTGTGCCGCTGTAAACACTGAGGATCGGACCGCAAACTCCTTCTGGCGTCAACATTGTCCAGTCGTGCCAGCCGAAGGTTCAGGGTCTGGATGTTGCTTTCAATGCTTTCTGGACTGGTGCTGGGGAGTGAGGTCCCCTGCTGCCACATGAAGTACACGGGTAATTAACTAACTGAGACGTTTGAGCGCAAGAAGGAAACGATACAAACTTCAACGAAAACCTCAACCTTTCGACAATCCGCGGGGTAGGCGAAGCAATGGGCCCGCCTTTCCACATCCTCCCAGGCGCGCGGAACGCGCTGGAACAGCGCCGGAGGCGCCTCCCAGGGGCGCGGGAAGGGGGCTCAGCGCTGACCCAAGAACTCCGCGCGGACTTACGAAAGTCGGTGATCATGCATCTCTGGTCGTGTCGCGACGGCGAAGCTGCGTCCAGACCGGTGCCCGATTCAGAGGCTAGGGAGCCGCGCGCGGCAAGGCTGGGCACAGGAAACCGGACCAGAGGCGCATCCGACGACACAACCAGCAGACGACGTGTCACCAATACCGGCACAGCAGCCAGCACAGCGCAGGGACAGCGTACGCGAGAGTAGGCTTACGCCTGGATCAAGCAAAGAAGGTGCTCCCCCGATGCCCACGACCAGAGCTCTCGGAACTGGAAGAGGCGTCAGACAAACTCTGGGCAACCTCCACGACGACCATAAGCTTGCAGCAGCTCGGCGGCTGGTCTTGGAGGGAAATGACCTGCCCTTCGTCTGGGTCTACGACAGAAGCCACATCAATATCCAGATGTTGATACATCAATCAGCACGCGAAGCATGCCACCTCAAGAGGAAGTAGTCCTAGGCAACGGCGACGG